CTCTCTCTCTCTCTCTCTCTCTCTCTCTCTCTCTCTCTCTCTCTCTCTCTCTCTCTCTCTCTCTCTCTCTCTCTCTCTGTCTCTCTCTCTCTCTAGCATTTACCCACGGCGAGGGTTATCATTATCGGCCGGAGCGTGTGGATCAGGAATAAAGCCGATGTAACCATCGTTATGAGGGTTAGGCCACCTCATACGCATCGCCTCCTCGAATTCCGCCGGCAGTCTCTGACGGCGAGTGTAACCGCAGAGGTTCACGAACTCCCTGTACCCTGCGAATCTGTTAGCCGCCGCATCCAATTGATCGTTCCCAACGAGGATATGCAAAAACTGCTCATTGCGGTCCTCCTCACATACAATCTGTACTGCGGTCTCAACCTAAAACGCGGGATGCGGCCATGTTGCTCGTATTTCATCCCCGTTCATTTGCGGGGGAGGAGGTCGTGGGCGACGTGCCGCGACGACTGCTGGCCCAAGCCCGGGGCCCCCTCGACCGCGCACAACTCTACGTCTTGGTCGACGACCGTACACCATGTCCCCATCATCTTCATTGATGGGTGCTTGAGGTTGTGGCTGCTCCATTATAGTGTCGCATCGTGAGTATCTGCAACAGATGCGGTGGAAGTCAGTGTCGCTGCGCGGAACATGGGAATCAAATATCCATAAAAAGGTTCGATCTTGCAGATAGAGTATAGCGGACAAACGACAAGCCTCCACACACCGTTTCGAGGCTTCAACTTTGACATTACAACTCCAACATCGTCGGGGTTGTTATTTCCGAGCACTAGGCTTTCATCTAGATCCACGAGTCCAAGTTCGAGAGCCCGGGACAACGACCGAACTGTTTTTGTTTCTTCGACTTTTGAGAATTTCGTCCTTCGCAGCCAACAGAGTTATGCTCCTCGTCATGACCCGAACCCCGACACGACACGGAAACATACGACCCAGAGTTGTCCCGGGCTTTACTGACTGAGTCGGGTGTCTGGGTCGTGCTTCCTGATAGGGAGGCCGCAGCTTGTGGCAAAGAGAAACCGAGTTGGACTTCAGTGCAGCCATGAATGTCGTGGCCCAACACAAGGAACGGAGTCGAATGGTTAGTGGAATCGACACGTGGCTTGCCCTCCTCGCACAACAGCCGTTGCTCACGTATTGTGCAAATAGCCTCCCGGTTATCCAATTTCATTTTTTTTTTCCGCAAGGACGACATAATTGTTTGCACCCGGGAATACGATGTCGATAGCACAACATGTGCATTGTTGAGGTCGTTTGTCACATCCTCTATATGTTTATCTATGTCGTCGAGGTCATATTTGCCTTCATTGCCTTCTGCAATTGACTTGTCAAGGCCGTTCGTTATGCATGGTGGCAGACGGCGCATACGTTCACGGAGCGAATATTTTATTCGGTCATCATGAGGATTCATGACACAGCCACAGACTGAGCGACGTGATATCTGGAAACACAAAACAAAAAACAAGAGTCGTGAACACATCACACATTATGGGTCGAGGATGACGTCGCGCACCGTTCATGCACGATATATATATATATATATATATATATATATATAAAGCGTCACAAGTCCGTACGTACAGAGTTCCCCAAACAGACCTCCGTATGTGCGGACGTTCGTGGTCCCTTACGGAGTCCGAACCCGACGCCGTCCGGCCCCCGCCTAAAATTGTTTCGGGGACTAAAAAAAAAGAATTTTTTCTGAGTTTTTTTTTTTTTGCGAGTTCTCTATGACGTGAGGTACATGCATGTWAAATGTCAAGTCATTTGGCTAAGCCAAATAAGAATTACAAATTGCCATAGATGGCGGTGTCAAAACGTGCTCGCCCACGTATTTTGTTTTGGGTCCACGTTCGGCCCGAACGGCCGAATGCATCCCCAAAGGGTCCCGTACGTTCGGGCGCTCGGGTTCGGGCGTTTGACCCGTCCCGATCGCCGGTTAATATATATATATATATATCAAAAGTTGAAGATTTATATTATATGTATATTTGTACATAAATATTATATGTAATATAATATTATGTAATACAATATTTATATACAAATAGACATATAATATAAATCTTCGACTCACGACAAATGTATCTGTATGTATGACTCGTGTGTTGTCTTGTACTCTCTCTGTGCCTACGGTTCACCGGGCAATTCTTTTTGTGACGATATATATATATATATAGTCACAAACAGAATCGCCCTGTATGGTAACCGGCATCCAGGCGTTTCTTACTGCGCCGTTTTGTTTTGTTTTTTTTGCCCCGTCAAAGTGTTGTTCGGGCCCAGTGGTCAAGGCTTCTTATGGAAAATGATGGGGTTGCAATATATATATAGGCCCTCGTTTGTTGTCCTCTTCTCCCTCTCTGCCTACGGTTTACCGGCAAGTTATGTTTGGCGATATATATATATATATATATATATTTATTTATTTATTTATTTATTTATTTATTTATATATAAATTTTCGTAAAAAATTTCGATGTCAACCTGGGGCAAAAGTTGGTCAGTTTATTTT